AAAAAAAAAAAAAAAAAAACAAAGCGCGTTCGGATTTGGCTACCTGGACCCTTAGGGTTCATGCAAGCGAACCAAGTCCGCGAGATCGCCCCCGTCCTGATGGTAAACTTTAGTTACCGGCCCTGCATCCCACGCAATCCCAGCCCCCAGGACCGAAAAAACCTAAACCCCAAATCCTGAAACCCGAAAATTCAAGACCCCTAAAATCTACAGTGCATGAAGACTCTCAAGGCACAAGTGCCCAACTGGTAGATATTTAGTGCCCAAAGCATTTCCAAAAAGAAGCCATCTGGCCTCAATGCATGTACCCCATTGATGCTTGGATGCTTTCGGGTTTAGGGTACCCTAAATCCTTCGCCACGAGCCCTAAACCCTAAACGTTAAATCCCATCCTAAACCCTAAATTCTAAACCCTAAACCCGAAATCCTAATCCTTGATCCTAAACCCTATAACTGGTGAGGCCAGTCCCATCCGAAGCTCTGAAGCCTTGCTCGTGCTCTGCTTGCTCAGCTTCAAGAGCATCGATGCAGCGAGACTGGCAAAACGCAACTGGTTTGCGTTTAAGGAACTTTACCCTAGGGCTCCCAGCTACCTAAATAGATATTAAGGAGCTTAAATAGGGTTTAGGGATATTATCACCCCCCAGAATGGACAATCAAATGGAAAAGAACATGGAACATGACATGTGGAAACTGGGTAATATAGGGATTTCAGGAGCGTAATTTAAAGCACCAGAATTAATCCGGGTATCTAGCAGACAAGTCCTGGGTTTGGGATTAGGGTTCGGGTGGCTCCACATATTTAAGCATGTATTGCATATTCTATGTTTGGCTTTGGGATGCTTTGGGACAAGTGACAAAAACATGTCCAGCAGTGTCCCAGTAGAGGTGCAATAGCAGCAGCAGCAGTGGCAATAGTAATGGTACTGTAAACTAAGCTCCTTAAATTCCTATTACCCCAGTTTCCATGTCATGTTCCATTTTCTTTTCCATTTGATTCTCCACTAAAGGGAGGATAGTATATAACCCTAAACCCTGTTGATACAAAAAAAACCTGGATGGCATTGCTGCACTAAACTGCCATGATTCCCCAAGATTAGGGCACGTGGGTCATGTGCATTAGGCTGTGTATGTGTCAGCAATTCAAGTGCAACACAAGGAGAACTAGCGTGAGCAACAGCTTGCTGATTTGCTGCGCCCGTTCCACTGGGAAACGCCCTACCGTCGCCTCTGAACCTGAAAAAACAACACACCCCTAAAGGATTTCCCCAATATGGCCTCAACGTAAGGATCCCTAACAGGAACAAATGTCGTCCGCTGGGGTTTCCTAGAAGGATCCCAAATCCCACAAGTACAAGCTTAGGGGCAACCCTGCAACCCTTGATAATTAACCCCAACTCACAACACCTAAATCATGAGTCCTCAGTACCTTGACCCCTCGCTCCCAATATCTGGATCCCCTAAACCCTCAAAATGAAGGTGCGGAGCTTAATCTAGAGAACTGTCACGACAGAAACTACTCCCTCGTTGTTACCCGCCCCTGAATTTCCTCAACCCTGAGAAGGCCTAGATCTGAACAGCAATCCCTAAACTCCAAATTCCCTTCTCCCTCCCCATAATTCTGGGAGGATCTAAAAACTAAATCCCATATATAGACCCATTATAACCCCCGATATAATCCTTATATAAATCTCCCTATGGTTCTTGGGGATCTAATTTTTAGATCCTTTTGGGGGTCTGGGTCTGCCTCATGTTCGATGATCTGCCGTCGGTCTGCCAACACGTCCGCAGTGGCAGCCATGCGGCGATGCTCCTGCAGAGAATGGGCCCAAAGGCGGATGGAGGAAACTTCGCATCACTCTACAGTCCCCTTTAAGTAGATAGAATATGGCTTTGCGTATGTTATAATAAGATCCCTATATACCCCATATTCTATCAGCTTAAGGGGAACTATATATACTACTATGCCTGTATAGCTTCAAATCAAAGCTATTTGAGGGTTGTGTTCTACTGTTGGGGAAAGTGCTAAGGCTCAGGGATTCAGGATTAAGGCATTTTGGCCGGGGTGTTGCGTAGTAGGGTTCCAGGGCTTGCGGAGTTTTTGGTGCATGGCCTGCCTTCGAAGAAGACTCTACGCGTCCCCTGAAACTTCACAACACCCTAGAAGCCCAGGTACCCACATAGTAGGTCCTTGGGTTATAGATAGTATAAATCTATATAGGGACTTAAGGACAGGAACCCATTCTATAGGCAACTGGGCTTCCAGGGTAACAACAGCTACAAAGGTTTGCTCCGAGGGACTCCAACATAGGACAGCAGGATGAAAACCATGCAAGCCAACATGAACAGGACAGGGCAGCAGGTTTATTTAGGGTTTATAGGGTTTCTGGTTTAGGGTTTAGGATTTCTAGGGTTTTTAGTTTGGGGCTTAGGGTTACAGAGGCATAGAGCCATAAGACACACAGCGGTCTCTCTCAAAGTTCGTCTTCCTGGCAGAGTAGATAGAGATTCGATAAGTCTCGGGGGTTCAGGGGTCTCCTTCGTCGTGTTGAAGTGTTCTAGATCTGCTACTGGGGCATCTTGTACCATAAGCAGTAGAAATACTACAAATCCGAAACAAATGGGCCTTTGAAATACCCATTGGTGCGCTTGAGGTACCCACATCCAACAGTAGCAAGTGTATTTGCGAAGAACCATTTGTCGAACAACCACCCTTTCAAAACACACAATCCGTTAAATCAAATATTAAACACTACCCACCCCTAATTTTTGTCTGTTCCCCATAAAAAGACCTCGTATATTTGGAGGACCTTTGCAATATATTGGGGGTGGGGGTGTTTAATATAATCCTATGAGGCCCAACAAGAATCACAGCAACCAAAGTGCCTGAAGAACGCATTTGCGTTTCAAAGCAACTGGGGATTACGGCTTGTGGCTTAAGGAGGGTGCCCTCTCGAGAGTCCAAAGTAATAGAATCAGGAGCCTTACAATGGTGCCCCTAAACCCTAAACCCTAAACCCAAACCCTACACATGACAAGAGGACGCGAGCCCAACTCCCTACCTAGACCCTCCATCTACCCTCTATTCAAGCCTAAGTACCCATAACTAGGGGCCATATATCCCAAATTCAGGGTACTCGGAGGGTCTTGGCATATGCTAGCCCTAGGATCCTGTTTTTGACCCCTGGAGTCAAGCCCTCTTACTGACTGATGTACACCCCTTATATGGGGATAAAGGGACAGAAAATGGAAACTACTGTAATGAGGTTATATAGGGATAATGGAAAAGAAAATGGAAACTACTATATAGTATATATTCTATCTAGCCACAGGTTGCATTTCACTGTCCATGTTCTCTTCCGTCTGATTGTCCGTCACATGGGCTACTATCCCTAAAGCCTATATCATCCTTACAAACCGTATATCATATAACCCTTGCCCAACCCCAACCCCTAAGCTCCACTCCAGAAACCTTGCAGGTCTAAGCAGGCCATGGCCTTCTCGAAGAGTTGAAGGAGCCGCGAAGACCTCGCAGTTTGAGCCTGGACGTGCAGGAATTGAAGGTTTGGGCTTCAGGGTTCAAGGTTGAGAGGTGCATGGTTCAGGCTTCCAAGCACGGAGACCGGGCCCACGTGTTTCTGAATACTCTGCAAAAGCTAGCTTATGTGTCACAACGATTGGTCGCAAACCTCCTACCTCTCAGCCAGGCTAAACACGGATAGAAAGCTTACAAAAAAGCTCCCGTTTCCGCGGTATGCCCAAACACACAGAAAGACTGCGGCGAAGCTCCACATCACTTGCTATCTTTTTCGGCACGCGGGCGAAGTGTACCATGCTTTCCCAATACTGGCACCAGACAGCATCAGTCCGTTTCCTTTTAGTGGCGGGGAGGCTTTCTGTTAGGCGCGAGGAGTAATCAGACCCAAAAATATTGAATCCTAGGTCCCAAATGCTAAAACCCTGACCCCTGAGCCCAAAAGACTGCAGTAAGGCGCATCCAGGATTCGTTTCTGAGCTGTTACCAAACCTCTGCATGCCAGCTGGACCAAAACAATTGTAAGCTCCATAGCTGCAATGACCCACAGGCTAGGGCGGAGAATCAAAAAAAAGCATCCTCTTGGTAGAGCTCAACAGGAAGGCTAGCAGGGCCAGCGGCCTTTCCATCCTGCATTTCCAAGATCCCAGCGGCAAACGCTGATGCAGCCTGAACGCCAGAAAGCAAGATGTTGCGACGCTCAAGATGAAAGCTACTCTGCGACACAATATCCTGATGTGACAAGCCTTTGCCCCCAACAACGTAGCAACCTGACTGTGGCCCCCCCGCTCTGCGAGAATGAGGGCGGTTTCGCCCTTGGAAGTACGCAGGTCCTTGTCAGCACCAGCTTCCAAAAGCAGCCGTGCGATCTCCACGTGGCCATTCCAAGCTGCTATCGTGAGGGCTGTGTAGCCGCCAGTTATTACGTGAGATACAGCAGCTTCTAAAAGCAGATGTCCGGGGATCTCCACGCGGCCAGTCCAAGCTGCTTTCATGAGGGCTGCAATGAAGCCGCCAGTTCTTCCGTGAGATGCAGTTTGCACGTCTTTGTTAGCACCAGCTTCCAAAAGCAGCCGTGCGATCTCCACGTGGCCATTCCAAGCTGCTTGCATGAGGGCTGTGTAGCCGCCAGTTATTCCGTCAAATGCACTTTGCACGTCTTTGTCAGCACCAGCTTCCAAAAGCAGCCGTGCGATCTCCACGTGGCCATTCCAAGCTGCTTTCATGAGGGCTGTCTCGCCATTGCCAGCCTGCGCGTCCTTGTCAGTACCAGCTTCCAAAAGCAGTCGTGCGATCTCCACGTGGCCATTTTTGGCTGCGAGCATGAGGGCTTTGCGACGAAAAGGCCGCACGTCGTCCTTGTCGGCACCAGCTTTCAAAAGAAGCCGTGCCATCTCAACGTAGCCATGCTCAGCTGCGAGCATGAGGGCGGTTTCGCCATTGGAAGTACGCAGGTCCTTGTCAGCACCAGCTTCCAAAAGCAGCCGTGCCATCTTCAATTGGCCTGTCTCAGCTGCAAGCATGAGGGCTGTGTAGCCGAAATCGAATTGATCGCGACAGCGGGATGCAGACTGCGCGTCTTTGTCAGCACCAGCTTCTAAAAGCAGCCGTGCGATCTCCACGTGGCCATTCCGAGCTGCGACCATGAGCGCTGTCTCGCCAGTGCCAGCCTGCCCGTCCTTGTAGTACCGGATTCTCACAAGCAGGTTCACCTGGCCAGCACTAGCTTCCAAAAGCAGCCTCGCCATCTCCAGGTTCCCTTCCATGCAAGCTTCGAAAAAATCTTCTACAGCCTCGCGCTGCTGCAACTCTGTGGAAAGGGCAAGAAGGACTAATTGTAAGTCGATCGGGGAATCTAGCCTGGTGATATCGTCCAAGCAATTGCCATTGTGCAGTAACTGTTGCATGTACACCGGGAAGCCATGCAGCTTGCGCAGTGCCTCTTTGACATCCTGCACATTCCAGATCGGCTCCAGGCTGACTGGCGGTAGCTCCTGTCCTGACATCCGCCATATGCGGAGCATTCTGGCAAGAAGGCTCAACAACAGCGCTAGCTGAAGACTTGCGAGCCGCATCTATGCTTGTGTACTGATGGTTCTACACGCATTAAACCAAAAGCCAGCTGTTGATACGCTAGAACTGAATTTGTGTGACAAAGCAACGTAGAGGACGTGAATCCTGAACCGAAAAGTCCTGAGGCAAGACCGCGGGCTCTCTACACACTACCGGACAGTTCTTATGCGGTCAGAAAACCATAGTGGGGTGGATCAGTAATATTTTCTTGTTGGGCACTGGAAACGATGGCTAAAGAAGAAATATCTCCAACTATGGCAGGAAAGCGGTAAATCGGGTCTTTTCAGCTTTAACATGACTTTGCCCTGGGGACAACTGTCTCCAATGTTGGGCCTCGCCGCGCACCAGGTATGTATGGGACAACGGCTGTTAATTAAACCTTAGAACATCTGACGCTTACGGCTACCTAGACGACCATCCCCGACCAAAGCAAGCCCCAGCCCCATGTGCATGTATGCATGTATGCATGTATGCATGTATGCATGTATGCATGTATGCATGTATGTATGTATGTATGTATGTATGTATATCTATATGGGTTCTTGGGAACACACTTCACAAGGACCGGCCCCAATTTTCACGCAGCAGCAATGACCAGGGAACCCAATACCCTACCGTCTGCCTGTAAACAGAAAGAATCCTAGTATGATTTACGGTATATTCCTTCATGGTATTAGGCTCTCCTCGAACCAGCAATGCTTCCCAAGGGTCCAAATACCTAAAAAGTGGGATCAGCAGGTTTTCGCTATGTTTCAGGCCTAAACCCTATACCCCAAACCCCTCAACCCCAAACCCCTAAACCCTTACTTTGGGGGCCCAGGCATTCCTTCAAGCCATCTTAAAGGCTTTATCTCCAGAGGTTTCTGGTCTGAGTGAAGAGCCCTGTATTGAAACAAGGCTCCTGAAAACCACCGTCCGAGGGACCCGCAGCGACTGCCAGCTATTTCAGTGGCTACACGAACTTCCAACCTGTATAGCTTTGGAAAACTAAGACTCCACAATATGCGGATTTGAACCCTAGCTTAACTTCCAAAGTCCAAGCCCGGTATGATGAGTAGCTCGAACGGAGCCGAAAGTCTAGGTAACCTCCCAGTCGTGCACATGTCAAGCTTGAATCCTATTGCTTCTAGGGTTTACAGTTGACCTGTGAGGGGTTAACGTGTAGGGCAGTAGGATGTAAAGTCCACGACTCAGGGCTTAGGCATTGGGCTTAAGGCTACAAAATTAAGGGCTCAGACTACTCAGCGAAATGCTACGGCCATCCACTGTTGCGACTTGCGCCGCCAGCACCCTCGGGGAACGAAAAGGGTATCCGACATCAAAGAAAGAAGATCCAAACTCTAAACTCTCACTAGGAAGCGGAGGTACCCATATAGTAGGTCCTTGGGTTATAGGTAGTATAAATTCATATAAGGACTTAAGGACAGGAACCCAATATATAGGTATCTGGGCTTCTAGAGGCTCATCCCACGCAAGCATCGGCGCCTCGACCCAGCCCTCTAAGTCTGAAGAGTTGTCCTCAACACTGAACCGCAAGTTTGGTTCAGGCTGCACATGTCACACGCTTCAAAAGGAAAAGTGGTTTTCTTTACAAAGTGTATGAGATGCTAGAGGTAAGTAAGGATTAAAGGACCATATGCGGGCCACTTAAGGACAACAGAGAGGCACTTAGAAACTCCGCTCATGATCAATTAAATGCTTGCCAAACACCGCCCTTCCGCATACCTAGCAGTACGATTGGGGCCTAGAAGCTGGAACTGAGGTTTGGGGCATAATATCCCCAAGGGTCCAAGGACCCAAATAATATCAAATAATATAAGGTTTTAGGGCCCAAATACTATAACATTAATGGTATTCGGGCTCTAAAAGCCGATTATTTGGGCCCTTGGACCCTTAGCTAAGGGTCTGCTAGTGATGAACCCGGGGAGTACTAGGGGATAGGGTCAATACAGAAGGTCCCGCGTGCACTTGATATGCTAAAGCCCCATACTTCCCAGGGTATAGGGACTCAGGGCCATACCGCAGTTCAAGCATCCACCGGCACGTTGGTAATCTTTCAGGCTTCTACATTGCCTAATGCTTAAGCTAGAAGACTTACCATTATTATCATGCTGAGGTCGATGTGAAGTACCCGCTACCACCATTACGCACGAACTCTAGGACCATAATATTGGCAAGCACCCTTTTAGAACCACTATGCAAACACAGCTTGCATGTTGTTCTTCATTTTGGGTGTGCATTTGACTCGCCTTTTTTGGCACTTATCTGGGTTGGCCGCTAAAGCCTTTTGAGCCATATTAGTATATAGAGTCCCTTATTAAAGCCATTAGGGAAAGTATTCAATATCCGAGGGGCCTACCCAGTTATTTTGGCCTCTAAACCCTCAAGGCTTTGGAATCCTAAGCCCTAAACCCTGAACCCTAAACCCTAACCCCCTTAGGGTCCTAAACCCTCAAGGCTTGGGAACTCTAAGCCCCTTGGGCTCTTGGAGTTGCAGAACGCAAGGCCTTTTCACAGGGCTCAGCAACCTTGCTGTTTAGGTTCAGGCCAAGAAGGTACCATGTTGTAGTACTATTACACGGTTTAGGGGTTTAGGGTTTAGGGGTTTAGGGGTTTAGGGTTTCGGGTTCAGGGGTTTAGGGTTATTATTCATATTACTAGAAATTTGTTACTATTCTTGTAACTACTACTTCACTCCCTGCAACCACTGTTATTGCGATTCTCATTGCTGCCATTGGCACTCTACTTGTTGTCGCTGTCATTTATGTCTGTACTTTCCATTCTAATAATGGCTACTGCTACGGAGCGCCAAAAGCATACGCCCTTAACCCTCAGCCCTCAACCCTAAATCGTAACCCCCCTCCTACAACCTGAATTCGCGAATCCCAAATCCCAAATCGTCCAAAACTCCAAAATCATAAGCCCAGACACCCTATCGCCTATAAACCCTAAACCCTGAACACAATACTAAGGCCCTCGGGGTCCTCCTCGCTATTTGTCGAGAGGGTCTCAGGCGCACTCTCCTTCTCCTGGCCAAGAAGCCAACGAAACCATGTGGCTGGCATTTGGGGCTATAAGGACAGGTTAAAGTATACCTACAGGGTCAAAGTACCCAAATGGTAGGCCTTTAGGGTTTAGGGTTGCGGGGATTCTAAATACTAAAATCTGAAGGGTTTTTGGCACGGGGAACCCCCAATGTTTAGGCACTTAGACGCTCAGGGATACGCACAGAGCCCCAGACAATTCAAGCATGACCCAACCTTGCTGTGGCGTTTGATACGCCGTGTGCTGGCTGCCGTTGACCGGGTCGTGGCAACCTTTGGGCACTGTACCGTACCAAGTTCTTACCTGAAGCCCGACATTCTGTAGAACATCAGCCGTCTGGGGTCTTTTATCGGCAATCATTCTACCTACTGTTGGGGTGGGCGTAGGGTTGAACGATTCTGTAGGGTCTAAGCTTCTGGATTCAAAGCCTCAGAGCGAAATCAGGAGAAGTTGAAGATAGCCGAGGCATTCCAAACAACGAAACAAAAATGGGCGATCTTTACCGTCCTTTGCAGGCTTCGGCACAACCAAGTTGTGCAAGGTCAGAAATATTTGATTCTTGGGATATGGGACAAATGGGAGTGGCCAATTTCTTCTCAAGCCTCTTTATTCCAAGGGGTCCCTAAGTGCCCCCCATTTTGAAAAACTCCGCTGCAGGGTAGCCCTACATGCTCTGCAGCTCAAGTGGTAGTTTGCAGGATATGCACTGGGTCTCCTCCCATTGCATTTTTTATGAGATTACATGTCCTGGTATGCCCAACATGCCTTGCACAAACTGCGGTTCTGTGCTTTTGGGATTGTACAGGTTGTACATAGCTTGCTTAAGAAGTGGGCTTCTTATGAAGCCACACCCAAACTTCAAGCCACAAACCCTAAA